GAAATTATGATATTAGCTAAATTTTAGTAACCTAAATCACAACAACAAAAGATGCAAACTGTATTGATTGAAACGCTGACCTTCTCTCAGCTAAGGCTCACCAAGCTGCTGTTCACAGAGCAGGGACGTCGGAGGGTCATAGCAAATGGCTCCACTTCCACAGCTGTTGGAGAGGAGTCTTCCAAACGACTTAAAACCCTCCACCTCCAGAGGAACTTTATTCAAATATAATGTCAATCAGAGAGCTTCTTCCTCAACCTGACCTCTTTCTCTTGATTAATTCAGTCTGAGAAATGGAGTCAGTTTGTTTTTCATGCCCAGCCCAGCCTTCTCTTTGTTATTCAATTTATAAATGTGTCAAATAGAATTAAAACTGTCAGAGGCCAAGATTAAATCAAATAAACTGTAAACATTGCTTGCGCTATTTGGTTGATGCAAAGCTTTCACCATAAAAGGCTTTTAAATAAATGAATTCAGTTATTACTGTGCTGCAGCACTGAAACCTTGCTCCAAGTGTTTGAACTTTTCAGGGACACTGTCAGGTCATCTTAGATTCAAAACCTAAAAACTGGGATTCTGAAATTGCCTAAGGGAATTAGGTACCTGACTTCTACTGAAAGTCAGTGTGCAGTGAGAAGTGAATTGACTTTCAGCAGAAATTACATGCCTTTGAAAAGCCTATTTATATCCTTGTAAACAGAGGAGCATGTCCTTCGCAGAGATAAATGAATGTAACTCCTTTGACACCTACATAGCCAGCAAAGCATCTGATACACAAATTTTACAAAACCTAAGACTAGCTGGAAAACCCTGAGAGCTACCTTTACTTACCTAATTGTATTTTGCTTAGCATTAAATATTTCCTTTCAATGTGAAATAATTACAATGATATTATTAAGGTGTGGCATAACTATAAGCCCAACTTCCAGGAAATTAGTCCATTAAGGACTTTCAGTTTCAGTCTGTCAGGCTGCAACTTGCTGTTTAACCCACTGATTTTAGTGGTACTCCTGACCTATTGAGTGCAGATTCAGAGCCTCAAGACATCCAAGGTTTTCCCAAAAACATTTTTGCATCAAAAAACCCACATCCATATCTCATTAGCCATCATGCAAATTCATAGCAAGCAATACGGAAACTCAGTAACTTTGAAAGCAGGTTTCTGTCTTGTTAACTTAGATTTTAGTGCTAAGCAATACAACGTTAAAATTTAGATTACACAGCTTTGAAAATAGATCCCTGGTTATTTGACATTGTTTCCTTTAATTCCTCATCATAATTTTAAAAATTCATACAAGAAATGCGATGTTGTGTGTATTTTTCTTGTAATTTATTTTTCACACAGGATGGGCATTTCTGACTCCTATGTTAAATTCTGCTCTTTTTTGGCACATATATGTTTATATCTCCACATGTTTTATGACTTTAATAACCTGATGCTACGTTATGAACTGAGCTTTTTGGGATTTCTCTGTCCAAAGCTTTTAGAAAAAAACAATACATTGGACTCCATTGGACTGGGGTCAGAAATGTTGCTTTCTGATCTTAAAACTCTTCTTATTTAACCCCAAATATTCTCCAAGAATTCTACTGGTCTCCTAGGTAAAGCTACTTCATTCAAAGTTCAGTGTGGCTGCTGGAGGGGGAACTCAACGACAATGTTGGAGGTCTTTTGGGGACAGGATGACATCATGAAACAAGATGGCACAATCACAGAATGCACTGGTCCTTCATCTCAGGAACAGCAATTCACATCTGAATAGAGATGATTAGGCAAAATTAGTGCACTTAGTCCCACTTTATCTTCAGTGGGCATGAAATCAGAACACAAAACCGCTACAAAGAGCCTCGCAACTGGCAGGCTCGGGTCATGAGGAAGCCAGTGCTTGAGAGAGCAGAAGGTCAGGACTGATCAATGAAGGCAGAGCTCGCATATATCAAAGATCTCATACAGCTTTGCCCCATCTATTTGATCAAGACTACATATTAGTCCCTTGCTTTCTTAACCATGGATGTTTTCAGATCTATTGAAAATAGCTGATTAAGATTCCTCTGTGGTGATGGGTAGCTGAGGTTTGATATCACAAAGAATGGAAAGGAGCAACATAACTGTCTCATGTCTTGCGAGCAGTTGAAACCATCTGAAGACCATCTTACTGATCTGCTACTAGGATGTGTCATATTCTAAAAGCTAAATAATATCTGTTGAATTGACTATGCAGATTGTAGCGTTTTATCTATTTCCATCGGTGTATATATGTTTTCCTCTCCTTCTCACCTGTTTGCTATGAATATTGCTCTGTGTTTAGACTTCCAGAACCAATTTTTGAAAGCCAATTAGGTATGGAAGGATCTGAGTGAAAATCCTATACAGAAGCTAGATCCTTCATTAATGATGACACAGAACTATGTAATAAATGAACTAAAGAAACTTGCATGTTTTGGTTATTTGTCTAAGATGGTAATGTGCATCGCCTCTATCGTCTGCAAAAGGGAGTAGCGTTGAGTAACTTCTGTGTTCAGTGCTCAGCAAAATCTGACGTTTGCAACTAAGAGTTACTGTCATAAATGGAGAAGCAAGATGCAGTTTTCAAGTCTGTGGCTCTTCTGCCCAGAATGGGAGCCCTGCTTAAGCAACAGGTCAAGTCCTAAACTCTTTCTGGTACTTGGCCGCATGAGGAACGCTTCTGTAACAATGAGGTCTTGGGGTTACAGGCAGTGAACAGGGGCATTGCTGAATGAATTTGGAAAGAAGGCTTCAGAGCAGTACTTTTCTCTTTGTATATCCAAGTATTTTTATTCAGTGAGACTGAGACAAAGAAGATCTTGGGAGAAAAAAAGTGTAACAATGTAATGGATCTTGGGTACTATAATATCATCTAAAATAACACAGTGGCAATTTTTACTAATACATAACCTCCCTAAAAAACAAGCTGGACTGCTTTTCTCATCAAAGTTAAAGTTTGGGAGCTGGTTCAGTTTTTACATGGATTCAAATATGAAGGGATACTATCAGGGATATTCAACTGCTGCACAGCTGACTTGATATCAGAATTTCAACTAATGGCTTCAGCTTGAAGCTGTCCTTGTAAGTGACAGCAGTATTTGACTTATAATCAGGAAATTTTAGCTGTAATATGTCAAAAGAGCTTGCAATTTGTTTCACTAGTAAATATGATTAATATCTGGTTTTACTTTATTATATGAAAGGATTCCAAGAGGTATGTTTTTCTTTTGAATTTCAAATATTGCTTCAAATAAGTATTAAAACGTTATCCTACAGTATTAGGAAACTACATAAAAGAACTTTTGGCCAGAATGAAGAAGAGTATGATATTATTTCCTAATACAAATTGAACTGAAGACACTATCTGCGTTGCTCTGAATGACAGAAATTAATAACTGCATGCTGGTGTTTTAAATTCCCTAAAATTGTAGTATTCTGCGAGGTTTTCTAGGTGTGAGGAAATACTTAATCTTGATGCATGTACTGTTCAGGGGGAATTAGATCAGGTCCTTTGTGACCAGTTCTGCTTATTTACACTCTCATATACTGTTTGTCTTCAATGCGTTGCACAGTTAGAGGAGAGCCAGGAATTCAGCCCAGTCTTCCTTAAATTCTTGCTGAACTTGATGTTAATTTAATCCCGTATTTCTCTAGTTACCTAATACAAAGCATTATTTCACTGTCATTAAAGATGACCTTGTTTCCTTTTTTCATATTCTTCTCACTGTTGTTATTCTTCCCACTGAAGTCTCCTTTCTAGTCATAATGAACACTCGGAGCATTTCATTGAGAAAAATGAGCAGTTAATCATTTTCTATTTCCCTAATCAAGACCCTGTCATTATCATCACCAGAAGCCAGAAAAACAGGTGAAGAACGACAGAATTACATGAAAGGTAAAAAGGACACTGCCAAAATGATTTTGTGATCACAGTCACTTATAATAATACACTGAATGTTGGCATGGCAATCTAATTGTATACTAAAGCCTGTTGTGTAAACTCAGTTACTAGTTACATTACATAACGCTGATGCTCAATTGCTTCAGTCACAATTGAGCAAAATATGAACAGAAATTTGGAACAGTCTCTGATTGTTATTGTGGAATAATTCATACAACTCATCAGTATGGCAGTTTTCAATTTAATTTGGTATTTTTGAAACAGAAAGCTACAGTGATTCAATTCTAGAAGAAAAAGTAGCTTGGAAAAAAATCATGTTTTGCAAATGGAGAGAAGAAGACAAAAGTAGGATAAATTTTATTCTATCACTTTTGACAGTATCCTTTTAATGGGAAGACTACATTAAATTCTAAAGGCCAAATTCTCTTCTCATTCATATCACAATAACTCCAGAGTGGTTCTACCAACTTTTATAGAACTACTCCAGATTTACACAAATACTAATGGCAGCAGAAGCTGGCTTTTCAAGCCCAGTGCTTTCACAATAGGAATACATTTTAAGAAGTGATATATAAAAGAAAATACTTTGGGTTTTTTATTCCACTAAATTAGATCTGCAATATCACAGAGAAAGGCTGTTTCCTCTTTTGGTCTCAGATAAGCTACTTTCAGAAAACAGGTGTGACGAGAGTAAGACAGAAAGCTAAGAACAATCTTTGAATTAAGAATGTGTTCAGCAGACACTCTGGGTTTCTTCCCATACCGCAGATTTCTTATCCTGAAATCTGTATTTCACATAAATGGAGGAGAACAGGACATGGAAAATTGATCTGAAGGCCAAATTAGATTTCTCCTGCAGTCACCTGTTTGAGGAACAGAAGGAAGGGGAGGAAGGAAGGCCGAGACTGGTGCAATTCAAAGAGCAAAGACATTGAGTGACAGCCCCAAAGAAGTGTCAGATGTCTTCCAACAGGAGGTATGCCGTCCACACCCATCCCACCCTCTGGCGACGTTCTCTCCCGGCTATTTCCACTTGATTCACGTTGTTTCCATACTTGTTGAAGTGGTTCACGCTGTTTCACTGTTACGATTTTACCTATCCACGCTTGTCTCTGCCAGTCTGTTATTCATAATCGCTAGGGCTCCAACCCCACCAGAGAACCCATTTTGCTTTGAATTAGAGCTCATTTGCCTCGGGTAGCCATTGGCAGTTTCTGACAGCTGTTTCTGCATGATGGCCAGTGAGACTTTATTGGAGGCCAGGAAGTCTTTCATGGAGATCATCTCGCCTGACAGCCGGCGTCCGTCTGTGTCGCTCTCATTGACAACATCAGTCTCGATGGAGATGTTTCTCCGGCTGCGCACGTTTCCCGGCATTACCACGTTCCTCCGCGAACGAAATAATTTTCTTTGGCATCTGTGGCAGCACCTGCAGTCCAGCTTCTTTAATATCCAGTTTATGGATTGTTTGATGACAATAGAGATCACATTAAATAAGGAATAGATGCAGCACACCCCCATGAGTATGAAGACAAAATTGCCAAAGCGGTAAAGGCCTTGGCTCTCGTATTTGATGTTCTGGCTACTGACTAGATCACCAAAACCAATGGTACTGAAGGCCACGAAGCAGAAGTAAAGTGAGTCAAAGTAACTCCACCCTTCGATCGGTGTGTACATTGCAGAGGCACAGCAGGAAATGATGAGCGATGCTACACATAAAATCAGCATAACGTAGTACACGGAGGGCTTCCAGCCCGCCAGGCTGTCCACCTCAGAGGTCCCCGAGCCCCGCCGGCCATTGTGAGGGAGGACCCCTTTCCTCCTCAGCTGCCTTTCGTGGCAGGACTTCATGATGTAGGCTATGACAGTGATCAAGCGCTCCAGGAACAGGTTAAAGAACAAAATGGTCCCTGCACATCCTATAAGGCCATAAAATATCAGAAAAATTTTGCCTCCAACGGTGGCTGGGGTGGTCATGCCAAACCCTGGAAAACAAAACAGAACAGTTGAAAAAAATAAACCTGTAGTTATTGTGTCAGGAGTTTTGTCACATGCAAGACAGAAGAACTGGCAGCAAACCCCTGAGGTACAGTTCAACTCTGGGAAAAAAGTGAGGACACTCTCCCCAGCTGCTACCCACTTGTGCTTGACCATGTCCCAGCAGTAAGGGGAAGGAAACTCATGCCAGCATTCCTCCCAGAATCAGAATGAAACAAAAAGCAGAAGAAAACACACTGGAGAGAAGCGAGAGTTTAGTGAAGGTCTGAACTTTGGTCTGGTGGCTAGGCTCACTCCATCCCCCTTTGCGCCTTGGATCACTTCCAGGCTTCAGAGGTATCACCCCCTTTCCTTCTCTTCTATGCTGATCTGACCCAGGGGTGCCTCTTACCTCGCAGGGGTCCATCCCCACCAGATCTTTTTAACCCAAGGTGAGATCTTTTTGAGCCTTACTCGGCTCCTGCTGTAAGCGCAGATGGCACATCAGCCAGCATCAAGCACCCACTGCCGCCTGGCCAGGCTCTGCAGACTAGAAGAGGCAGCCCCTGACGGGGGCAGCGACCCCTCATGGGGGTCCCCAGCAGGCAGAGTGCATTAGAGCAGCCCTGCGTCTGACCCTGCTGTCGGTAGCCCATTATCAGCCCTCTTCTAAATCAGCGTTGCTGAAGCTTTCCTATTTCTCTGCTTCTCACTCACAGCTCAAATCTGTATGTGAGTCTTAACAAAAGTCTCCTCTGGTCTCATTCCCCATCGTGGGATTTCTCAGGCCGGAGGTGCTTCGGTCCTACCTCAAATCCCACCCTTCCTAAAGACTGCAAATAGTAATTTTTTTTTCATTAAAGCTATTGATAAAACAATCTTGCTTTAACAAGTCATTAATAAAGAATAAAAAGCATGTCCAGAACATGATTGTGCAAATTGGAGTACTATCCATCATAAATAACTTTGCTGCTGTTTTGTTAGGATTAATAAGGGATTACATAACTGATCAATTAAGCCAAAATAATCTTGCTGAGGGGACAGAAGAGTCATGTTGGACAAGAGACAAAGTTATTTGTTTCCCTCTCTTTGTAATTATGAGATGCTAATTATGCAATAAAGACATTAGGCTCTGGGAAATAGAGGAAATCATATTCAGTGTGATGCGCTTGTGCCTGGAAGACAAACAACTGCAGAGTGAAGAGACTGTGCTTCCAACAGCGCTGAACTGCACTCCTCTTCACTGGGAACCTGCTACCAGCACGGATTCATCTCCAAGGCTGCTCCTGCCACACAGGGTTAAGTGACAGCCCTTGCCCTCACCGCTCCGGCACGACGCCTCTGAACGACAGCCCCAGGCAGGGGCTCTGGAGGGTCTTCGCCTGCACCCACAGCCAAACCGCAGCATCCAGAGGACCTACAGGAGGCTCAAGCCGCCTCATGAGATTTCTGTGCTAGAGCGAGCTGGACTGCAGCTCTGCGCCGTGGGAGCAGCACGACAAGGCAAACCGCATAGACAAAACATTCTTCATGACAAGAACTTTCTGCCGTTGTTCACCTTGGCACACAATTATTTCCACTCGCTTTCTACCTTCTCCTTCTGCTCCACGAAGTGATCCCCCCTATAATCCTATTTTTGATGCTTATTTTCCGTGCAGTCTGGCTTATATGCAAGTCATGACCTCCACCCTGTGGACAGACACGTAAAGACCGACGGACGAGGGGAACCTCTCTGCAACTGGTGGGATCTGCCCAAAGCAGCCGGCGGGGAGGGAGCCCACCCTGGCCCACCCTGGCCCACCTTGCTCTTTGAAGAAGAGAAGTGGCTGCAGGCTGGGCAGAGGCAGAAGGGTGGGGAGCCCCTGGCACAGGGTGAAGGGCAGTGGGGAGCAGCTTGCATCTCTCACAGCGTAAAGCTTTTGGGAAGTGAAATGTAGTTCAGGCTCACACCTCCAGCACGGCATTACGCCTTTGGTCTGCTTCCCACAGGTCCTTCTCGGGATCCTCCTGCTGGCATCATGGCCAGAGCCTGAGCTCCTCAGGTTTGTGTGTTTAATCAACTGGATTTTGTCTCTGAGCTCAGATCTGTGTGGGTAAAAACCCACAAACAAAGGCTTTACAAAAGCACCCAAATAGGCATGATGGGAAATGCACGGTCAACTATAGATACCAAAAGATGCAGAACATTGATCCAGAGAGGCAGTGTGTCTCCGAGTGTGACTCTGCCCCTTGTCAGCTCCTCCTCTTCAGCAGGGAACCTCTTTTTACCTCCTGAGTAACTGTAATTTTTTGTCCATTTTTCTATTTACAAATCTCAATATGTAGCAATCAATGCAAACATTTCCAAAGAAGCAGTAAAATGGAAAACCTAAAAGAAGTATTAAGATATTAATTTAACAAGTATTTTCCTTCAAAGATCATTTGTCAAAAATGAGCTGTAAGCTTTTAGTCCCAGAAATAAGTTCAATTGTTGAAATGGCTTGTATTTCCATGTATTGGGCCACATTATGCCTGATTAACTTTGACCATCACAGTATTAAACTTGGGATTGATTTGGAATGCTGTATGATAGACTAGGACTTGTTTGACAATAGGTATATTTTTCTCCAAATGGACTCTTGGGGTGTTTGAAATATTCATAAATCCAAGTAAATCTGATGAACTGTTTCAGCCAACAAATGCAGGAAAGCAAAATTGTAAAAGGCTAAAACAGTTGAAATGAAACTCAATGTTCTTATTTGGCATTTTTGTGACAAAACTTTTCATTTCAAAATATCAATCACCTTTTGGTTAAAAAATATTCAGTTGGAAGTAAAAAGAATGGAAAAAAATACTTTGAAAAATCTTTCGGATTTTTAAAAGCTTCCTAATCTTAAAATGGAACACAACATTTCACTAATGATCAAATCAAACCTATCAAAAATTCCATGATGCTTTATCCTTTTGAAAGACCTAAAAAATATCTGTTCAAATACAACTTTAGGTTAAGGTTTTTTCCTATTTTTTGCTGCTGGCCACCAAACTAGAAATGCACTGCTTGTTAATCTCTACTAAAAAGTGAATTCTTTCAAAAACCCTTTTCATACAACAGCCCTGCAAACACTAGCTGGAAGTAAAGCGCTACTCTTGGTGGGATCTGCCTCTTTTTTCCCCCAAATTTGTTTAAGGAAGACTGCGGCTCGCTCTTGACAAAAAAATACAGCAATGGGATTGTTCTTGTTTTAGCAAAATTACTGATGATCTTGTGCTGCGCTAACACAGAGGATCTACGGGTAAGACAACTCCTTCGTGAGGTCACTGGAAGCTCTCACACCAAAACCCTGCCCTCTAACCTCAGGACACCAAAAGAAGCCTGTTGTCCGCGTGCGGGGTGCACACACGTTACTTGGGCATCAGAGGAGCCATGAGCTCTTCTCTCTGAAAGCAAAGACGACGTTTGGCACAGCGATGTCCGTCCTGGGGGCAGGTGTCTCCGTACATCCCCGCTGCGTCCTGGACCTGGTCAGGGCTTGCGGTGGCTCTTTTGCAGGGAGGGACGTGAGCGAGGGCTGGTGCAGAGCCGGGTGACGTCTCCACGTGAATGTGGGACACACACCCACACCTGGTAGCTGCAAAGTGCACCTATGCTCTCCCACCCAGAGACAGCATTAGTGCCTCGCCATGTACTTTCCAGAAGATTGATAAGACACCAGCAAAAGCAGCGTTTATCCCCTCTCTTCTGCTTCAGATACTCTACAGGGCAAAAGGGATTAAAAAAGGTGGATTTCCTACTTGGCTTGTAAAATGCCTTTCCTCTTTCCATTGTAGAAAAGGAGACTGGAGTCTGGGGTGCCGCTACGGCACTTAAAAACTGAAATATTGCAGAACTGAATTTTTTTTTTTTTGGTAAAAATGTAGTGTGAATAAATGCCTGGCAGGTCTCTGCATAGCAGCAGAGGCTTTCTCTGACATGCCACATGAGATGCTGCCTACCTGACAAGCTGAACCAGAGATGAACAGGCCACAGGGTATCTGAATTACTATTGACATGCTTTTTATTAAAATGCTGAGGCAGTATTTTAATCAAAAATATTCAGTTTTTCAGATTAACTATGTCATTTTGAAGTCTTGGCAGCATGTTAGGACACCTATTGATCTGCCTGGCATCTTTCTGCGGTCCCTGCACCATCCCAGGAGAATCGCACTTCCCCTGCTTCCTGTTGGGGTACCCCAGAACTGGGCCGGCAGCCCCCATTTCCATGCCCGTGACCTGTACAGCCACAATTGCCCCCGAACAGTCCGCTCTTCGTAACAGAGAGTGCAGCCTTACAAACAGCAGGCTTTTCATTTCCAATCCCTCCAAACGTTAACCAAAGGCAAAGTCCTTGTAACTTCAATGATTCCTGCAGACGCTCGAGAAAAGACTGTGCAGATAGACTTGCCAGTTCGTTTTTACTGTCGTCTTCAGAGAGCTGGGAGTGTCACATTGCAAGTATTTCTCCACTGTAATTACAAGATCAGGTTTATTCACAAACTGGACTTACACACCTTTCATAGCTGCCAGTCATGTTTTCATCAGAAAACGTAGCTCTTGGTATTGTCACTGTCAAATCAACCATCCAAATACATGCCACAGTTGCGTAACAGTTGCGTAAGCCTTCCTAGTTGCTTGGCTTATCTTGCCGCAAAAATGATGGGTTTACAAGCAATTGCCATATTTTTGCTTTCCAGCTAGTGCAGGAGGTTGGTCATCCACATTCTGTGTGCCAGCTGAGGGGTGTCCGCTGCCCTGGCCTTAGAGACTTTGGGTGAGCAGGACCAAGCTGCAAGGACACAGAATCGCCACACTGGGTCAGACCACCGTCTTTGACAGTAAAAGGCATAAACTTTCCTCAGGGTATCCTCCAAGCTTCCAGAAATCAGCAGTTTAGAGGCTTTGAGGACATCACGTTCAATAATTCGATCATCAATCCTGTCAAATCATTTTTCAAATCATTTATACTGTTGGTCTCCATTAAAACTGAGGCAG